AAATTATTATGGTTAGTTGTGCGCTTGCTGATGAGTTTTGCCTGGCTGAAACGATGGCCAAAGCAACTCTGCAACGATGCCGCTGATCGCTCACCAGGGACAAATGGTTATGGCTTTGGAGTGATGATCAACACAACACGATCAATGTGATTTCCGCGCATTTCAGTACAATATTTAAAGGAAACGCATGGCCGTGCAGAAAAAAGCAAAGAATACACACATACAGACATTCATTTTGTACTTGTAGGATTTTGCTTATAAAAAAAATATTTTTATTGCTTAAAGCTGAATTTATGTGACAAGCTTTGGCGTACACCGAGGGAGATATACACTTTGAGGTGTTTTGGTGACACTATTGAAGGGAATAAGCATTCATCGAGCACGATAACAACGTACAGCAAAAGTAGAGAAAAAACTTATTGATAAAATTTTAAAGCAAGAAGGCGCTCCTTTGTGCTGTTATCAAACCTTGTTCGACCTTGGCCAAGGAGAATGAAGTCCGGGCATTGAATTTTTTGATTTAATGCCAATTGCTTGCTTTCGAGCTTCCCTCTGAATGGATTTTGTTTTCAGTGTGGCGAATAGAGTTCTAGATGTGATTTTTCGATGTATTATTCGTAATATTCTTACTACATGTTTCTGTTTAAGCAGATATTTATCGAAATTGTTATCGCAATCGAATTTTTCTCAAACTTTTCCCACCAAAACTTTTGACAACAATTTCTTACTTCAGAGCTTCTTTGTGAATTATTTTTTATATTCCATAGAGCTGAAATAAAATTCTTTCGCACTACAAAGTACATTATTTTGACGCGAATTAATTGTTTTGCTCGTCATTGTTCTATCCGATAAAAACAAACAAATTTTTAGTAGGTGAGTTTTCCCTAGAGTGCCATTCAATTCCTCGTTTCTTCGATTAGATTTTTATTATATTCTTACAAATTTTCTATATCAATATCAATGAAAATAGTTTTATCGATGTCGTTATCGATTTCATTATGAGTGTCATTTTCGATGTATTAAATAGATGTCAATTTTGATGTATGTATATCAGGAAATTGTTAACTAAGTTTATAAATATACACAGTTACCGATTTATTTATCGGTATGAAGCTTTATCGATATTTTTGTAAAAAATTATCACTCGATATTGCTTTCCATTTCGTTTCTCTATCGCTTTCGTGCCTCTCCACGAGAATCGCTGCGTATTTACTGCAAACTAACTCAAGCGATAGGGTGCAATAGGTTAAAGTGTGACATCTGGCAATCCAGTTACAGTTTTTCGACTATATCCTTTTCGAACTCAAGCGTCACCGTTCGTCCTGGGCACCTTGAGTGGGTTGGCAGAAAGTTATGAACTTTACTGGAGCCACTGTACTTGGTTTAAGGGTTCACTAAGCTCTACAGGGTCCCTCCACCGTGAGGTGTGACTGCACTCGATTGTCTGTCTTGGAGCAAGCAAAGTTTGAAGTAACTTATTTCCAACGCTGTACCCAAGAAGTGAGACACATTGTTCTTATGTATATCTTAGCCTCGCAAAAGCGGCATAACAGCTAAGGAAAATATGATGATATGGTTCCGAATAGTTACTACAATGTGGTCTTTAGGTAATGCTGAGATTCCTCAACTGCGCTGTCCAAAAACACTGATCAAGTTTCTTGAAATTAAGAGCTTACTGCCGCTAAACTTTGCTAGGCTTCCGTGTTTAAAAAACTTTGTATTGGTTATTTGTTACAGATTGACTGTGTGACCTATTTGTTTAGAAAAAAAGAAAAAATTTTATAGACTTTCCCATCGTATAGACGTTGAGGCCATCACCAAAAATTCTTAGAAATTGGCAACACATCAAATAAAAATTTGAAATTTTGTGCCATCCCGTATGCCTTTTAAACTTAAATATTCTTCTAACAGTCGAAATGTCGAAATGGCAGACACTTAAAATGTATGCACCTTTTATTGATTTGCTTATGACGAATCGCAATATGCCACAGAAAAATGTGCGTCTAACACGCCTTCAAACGCTTGTCTCACATAAAAAATAATAATAAAAAACTTCGATAGTGCTTTGATGAACCTTTTTAACGCCCTAAGCTTTTTATTAACAAAAACCTTTAATTTACTTATTTCATTTCATTGGTACATCAAGAAATTTAAACCCGCTTACAGTTTGCCACCATGATTTATGTGCTACTCAGCAGTTTTTTTTTTATTAATTCTGAAATGTTAGTTTTGGCTTTAGTGTTAAGTTTTTTCGTTTTGCCTTCACATTCTTAACGTTTCGCGCCTTTGCGCCGCAACTTTTCAGTTTTTAATGGGCTCTGACTTATATACTTCAATCCAGCCGTTGTTCGACACATGCTCGTTCATTCAAGAGCACTCCTCTATATGGACACACATTCCATCTTAGTAAGTCTGATTTTCATTCATTCATTTATTCATTTGAGCAGTCATTCACCGTCCCACCTCAGTGCCTCATGCACTCGGCGCATCTACATACATACATACAGGCAACCCATTCGGCATACATCATTTGATTGATGGCAAAGCATATATTTCATTTTTATTCGCTAATAATACCGTACAGACAAAATATTATTAAAATGTATGTGGTCGCACGCATACATCACTAAATTACTGTAGCATTTGAAAAAAGTATTAATTCAAACCCCAAAATACACCGACATTCAGAAACAAATCACAGCTTTGGTTGGCTTAGCGTTGTTGTTTTAAGACTTAAGTTGTTGCATGGTTATTATTCAAAAAGTAAAAAAAAAAAAAATCAAAATATGTACATAAGTAAATAAGTTCGCTTTTGTTTAGTTTAAGAGTGAAATATTGCGGTCTTTAATATGCTAGTGATTTTTGATGACACCATAGAGGCGAATAAATTGAAAGATTGGTTAATTTGTTTGACATAACTAAAATGAGTGTGTGTGTGGCCCCTATTTTGATCTACATACGTACGTGTATATAAAGAAAGTTATATCGATGAAATGACATACATGAGATTAATGTCGAATGATTTGGACTCATTTTTGAGTCAGAAAAGCCTCAGAATTCTGAGTTGTCACCGTCTATATGAGCTCAAAAAAGAGTCAGAAATGAGCATATTTCCCTTCTTAGAAGGGCACGCCAATATGAGTCCAAATTAGTCTGGTTAATTGGTCTCAGAATCATATTTATGATGACAGAAATACTCATTGTTTAAAGGATATGAACTTTTATTTCATTCAAATTTTCAGAAATTCCTTGAAGCTTAAAATCGTAATGAAAATTCTGTCTTTCTAAGTCTTCCTAAGTATCGAATTTTCTCAAGGCTCAACGACATCATAAAAACCGAAGAAATACACTTTCTATTTAATATTTCTGGAGCTTTATATATAAGAGTAAAATAAATTGATTCTAATTGAAAGCGATTTCGATTGGAAACCCCTTTTCCTCTTTAGGACACTTTCATTAACAATACCATTTTGCCTATTTACCAATTTTTTAAGATTACGTATTTTTTATAGGTCCACCAAAACTCCAAAAGAGGCAATGCGGGGCTCATACAAAATAACGGGCATTATTTTTTTCAACTTTTTTTTACCACCCTAGTGCATGTATGTACATATGTATTTGCTCTCACCTCGTCGTTTTACCATTTTTGGTTTGGAGCCCGCCAAAAGCATTATTAATCCCAATTGCAGCCCTCCCCCCGCTCATCCACACGAAGGGCGCAGTTCGCATGACGTACGTGACTTTTGTTTTTTTTTTTGCGCCGCGTCACGATAGACAGGAGTTGGTTAAGTGTCGAGATCTGAACTATTTATCTACTGAACTAAAATCATCAGCTGATTATTATGTCTTTATGTTAGTTAATAATTTATCCTCTCTCAATAAATGTATCGCTTTCTAAATTCTTTTTACTTTCGTTTTTAAAATGCAAATATAACTTTGGACATGTTGGCTGTCATAAAATAATTGTACATATACGAATAGTGCTTATCATAACTAAACGACACTCACATATTAACAATAATTAACTATTTATGTATTTTATTGTTTTTTAATTTTAATTATTTTTATATAAAAGTATTCTTCAAAAGTCGTATAAAACCAAGGTTCAATGTTTCTGCTATATTCAAAAACAAAATAAGCAAACTTATTTAAAAATTTATTAGAAAAATTAGGAGCATGCAGTTTTTTAGCCCACAAAATTTTAGTTGTGCAAGTCTGAGGTGGCTAGTCGTTAATTTTTAGCAATTTTTTGTTGAAGATGTTGCTCATTTTCTCCATAAAATCCTCCTTTAATATACTTATTACGGAAGAAAATGAGTGGCATCGTGAACAAAAAAAATAAATTTCAAAAATCAACAGCTAGTCCCAGCTACTTCAACCTATCACTTTGTTAAAATTAAGTTTAATGGGCTACAAAATATTTGTACGAAATTAAAAAGCTCGAAATTTTTACGAAAGTTTACTGATTTGCTTTTAATGTTGCACGAAAATTTAAACTTGGATTTTTTTATGTAAAGTTATGATACACCCTGTTTAAGTAGTGCCTTGACAAGTTTCACTCTGTGTAGGTATCCTGACCCCATGTTTTACCAGACCTGAGCTTTCGATCAATGTTTAGATTGCCGTTAAATTTCTACAAAAACCGACTCAAGATTTAGCTAGGCACTTTAACGGCTATAGAAATTTGTATATGACTCCAGTTCGTATTTTATTGAATAACATTCACAATGATTTTTCGAAAAAATATTTTGGCTGCATCTGACATTAAACCCAAAGATTTGCTATTTTTATATCGGAGACTTAATACGAAAGTAGGAAATAAAAAACTACGTTGACATTTTTTAGTGCGCATTCCTTAGTAGTTAGCGGCAATATCCTTCTTTTAAATTGTATGTATTGAATATTTCGAAGCGGCTTTAGATCGTCTGAAATTAAAAAAGTATAATACATACATACATGTATAAATATTTTAATCACATTCCTTTCTTATTCAATTTCAGACAATTTCGGCACAAGTGCAAGTGGTAAGTAATAAAAAAATTTAGCAGAAAAGTACTTTATTCAATATTTACATACATATATTTTCGGAATTTTTAAGTAGGTGATACGATTATAAAAGGGAAACGATTAAAAAAAAAAATTAATCGATTTGAACTTTTGAACTTGACCAGTAGGTTACGAACTGTGTAAGCAAAGACAAAAAATACACATATGTATCTACATATGTATGTACAAGCATATCCAACTTACAATAAAAAGATTAGATTGTAGTTTGTAGTAAAAATCCGCAATTACTATAAATACTCCTGCAATAATTACGGAATTTGAGCAACAAAAAGCATATAAGACATTCTGTATCAAATAACACCAATAAAACATTATCATGCGATACGCTAAATGGCTGAACTAATCGGCAGCGTTTAACTTTTTTTTTTTAACAAAAAAACGAGTTAACTTACATATGTATACACCCTTCCTTCTCAACGAAAAATAAATTTAAGAACTCAAAGGTAACAGCTGAGCTTAGCGCATGCAACGACAATCATATATTTCACTGATACACACACAAATTCACATATATGTATGTACGCCATGTGAAACATCTCCAACAAATAAGGTGTGCGTGTGCTTTCTTGACTTGATATGCCTGTGTATCTTTTCATTTAGCATTTGACAGGACCTATAATTATGACCAACCATAACCCATCATCAACTTGCATTCGCGACGCGCAAAGCGATACGTGTAGATATACAATAAATTTTCTGATTAAAAACCAGCTTATCATTATTATAGGTTCGCTGGCTCATCGCTCGCTGGATGGCTGCTGCAACAACAGACAAAGTTTAAATGAGTAGCTAGTTGGCTGGCTGATTGTTGCTGGTATATACACTCCATTGCTTTGCTGCTCTAAGGCATTCACAAGAGCTGACTTTTTGACTGAGTTGAGATTACGGTTTTTTTGTTTGTTTAATTTAGTTTTTTTTTTTTTGCTTTCCATTCCCTGTCTCACTCAAAGTAAATTCTTGTCGAATTCGAAATTTTTTCTTTTAAACGCCTTTTTCAGCATGCGCAACAAAGTGCTCCAAGTGCCTATTGGCCTTTGAAAAAGGGACTCCATTATAGTTTGTGTTTGGTGATTTCATGCTCATGGACAAGCTCACCGTTAAAAATACATTGGTTGATGGTACCTACAGACATATATGTACATATAAAAACATACATATGTACAAATGTTATGAATTACCGGTTTTTAAATGAAATATACTCACGCTGGACATTTAATATCTGCAGTAAGTCTGCAACATGTTGCCGAAACATTATAGAAAGTGGAATTATTTCAAGTTAGGCGTTCAAATTCTTTCCAAACCCAGAAGCGGATGATAACTGTCATTAAATTATGAGAAATAGTTTCTAAATCTTACAAAGAGGTAAAAGAAAATTTTTATCAACTCTGTTTAAAGCGCGATCAGTGCTGGGGTTGGCTTTCTTGTGAAACGTGCAGAGCGCACAATTCCAACCGTCAAGCATGCGCTCATTCTACCGTATTCTACATATCAACTTCTCGTCGATCCATCTCGTAGACTCGATGCAGCTCCAGTAGCTTCATTGAATTTCAACCTGGAAATTGGCTTACGTACCTTGTCATAGTCAAGAAGATGGGACTTTGGCAGTGCTCGTAGGGGCGTTCCACACACTCCATGGAGGCATGGGCGCAAATTAACGATGTGGAAAAATCTCGCTTTGATGTAGATTATGCAGAGAAACTCATTCCGCGGCTTGAATGACAGTACTCAGAGTGTCCTGACACCCACCGCAGCCCCAAACTCAGCGCACAACCATTTTCTCGGGGGTTTCCCCCTCACATTAGCTCACTTCAAAGCATTTGTGCGGTTGCTCATCAAGGGATATTAGGCGTAAACATCGGAAGTCATGTGTTGCATGGTGAATGACGATCAAAACGTGCCCCCACACGCTCGGACTTCTGCACCCGAAACTATCGTCCTCTTACTAAAATTTCAAACTTCTTTGAAATTTACGGGAAGAAATTCTTTAGTGCAAGAAACTATGCATGAGGGATTTGTATTTATACGAGCGCATACATAAGTTGAAAGAATTCTACGGCATTAGAAATATTGCAAGATTTGCTTCATACAACACTCGCCCAGGCCTACGACCTGTTCTTGGCTACTTGAAGAGTTATTTTCCAATGCTATTAGCGTTCAAACTTTTTTCCTGTATTTCTATATACGCAGATAATTCTGTCTCTAATCTATAAATATGTGCATACAGTAAAGGTGCGCCTTCCACTCACACACCATCTACAATGTATGTATGTATGTAAATTAGTAATTTAATACCCTTTCTCAGCAGATCTACTTAAATAAAGAAATATTCAAATTATATGTATGTTTTGAAAAAGATCAAATTCTTCTCATATGTTTGAATTATGTGGCGTAGCGAGTGAAAGAAATCGTGGTCATACAAATATTCATATACATACATATATATAAAAATATACATATTGTATAATGCGTGCATCTGAACAAAAAGAAAATTTTGTTCTTTGAAGAATTTCCACAAATATTTCATTATTATTAGACATTTGGAGTTGAACGACAAATGAATGCGACAAAGGCAAAAATAAGCAACAGCACTAAGACAATTGAGGCATAGGAGAGCAAAAGATCAGTCAGCATGGGGATTAACAATTGTGGTGAAGGGTAGTGAGTGTTGCATGCCTGCTGTGTTATTTATTGTTCGAATTTCTAAACAGCATATGTCTAAGCAGAGGTCAAGGCAGTATACTTTGATACAAAATGTTGATACAATTACTTACTTATTTAATTTAATAAAAAAAAACTTAATTTTTTAGCTGCTAGGGTAGCATACTGACGACGCACAGTGGTTAAACGCTGGAATTTAATGTGCATAATTCACTGGAACCTTAATTTTTCATCCGGTTTGAGAGCAGTTAAGCCCGATTTTTGAAGAAAATTGATTCTCCTGTTCCAATTAATAAATGCACTTAATAAATGTTATGAAATAAAACCTAGTTGAAAACAATTGTAGGGTTCCCCCAAAACGAAAAAAACACGAGAAAAACTTGGAATGAAAATTAAAAATTTTAGGTTTTGAGTTTTTAGAAAAATTTCGAGTAAGCAGTTTTATAGATTGTTAAGTTAAAACCCAAAATTTTTCTAAGAACTATAATTAGATTTTATTTTTTTTAACATACAATTTTTTAGTTTTTATTTTTTGTTTCGGAGGAGCCGTACAATTGTTTTCAACTGGTCCTTTTTATGTAAAATCTATTAATTGGAACAGGAGAATCGAATTTCTTCAAAGTTGCTGCACTTGCACTAAAAAATTTAACACAAAGAAATGAAAATTAAAAAATCAGCCTCAATCAGTCTTTTGCAAATTTGATCAGCTGTCATTTACAAGAAAATAGCTAGATTGAGTGAAGAGTGAAGGCTCCAGTGAAGTATGAACAGTAAATGCCAGTTTTGGGCCACCGTGCAACGCTATTTGTTCTACTCAAATTAGTTCAATTTGAATTTTCTACACTTTTTATTTTTCCTCCATTCATGGTAACTTAATCAATAGTGAACATTCGCGCTGCTATTAATGCCACTTATGCATTGAAAATTTTCAAATAACTCACATATGTTTTGCACAATTTTCGGGGGGCAGACCAAAACAAAAATTAAAAAAAAAACAAGCGCAGTGCAAAAGATAGCATTCAAGTTGAAGAAAAACAAAATGAATAAGAGCATAGTTAGTATCAAGAATGCGCTGAAGCAACGCATAAGCTTGAAGAAAAAGCAGAAAATTGTCGGTTAATTAACTTTAGCACGCCATCATGCCACGGCTGATGCTTCGCAGTAGCCCCTCCGCCTCCGCTAGCGATTTGTAGTTTTTTGTTTTACATTTGTTTCTTTTTCGTTTTTTTTTTCTTCTTCTCTATTTGGAATGCCTCTTGCATTTAATACTGTACTGTTCTCCACCCTGCATTGCACATCGCCAGAAGCAATTTTGCGATCTCTTTTCCACACAAACACATATCTATATAGGCATGTAGCCCACGTACATATATGCGGCAAATTGCACATTTTATGCACTGAAATGATGGTTGCTGTTGTTTGTGCTGTAGCTGTTTTTAATTTCTGCATGGCAAACGCCTCATTTCCCTTCTTAATAAACCATTTTGTTGTTATGGCAGCGCGTATAAAATTAGTCTTACATATGGTAAAATACATGCCTCAAACACGGCATATGTAATACATACATACATTTGTATGTGCATATATGGATTCTTGTATATGTAGTTAGGTGCATGCTTGTTCGAACATGGCTGACACCAAGAAAAAAAAATGTAATTAAAAAAATGTAAAAAAGTTTTTGCAAAAATTGCATACAAGAAAATTTCAAAACAAAAAAAAAAAAATTAAATAAAAATTGAAAACAGCAGCAGTAGCCAACACAGCTGTAGCAAGTGAAGAAACAAAAAACAAAAAATATTTCGTGTTGAAAGATTTTCACATGCAGTGGCAAAGCCACTGTCAGCGTCCTGCAACAGTAATTGCCGCCCCAACTAAATAAATACAAGGCAAGCACAATATTTTTGTAAATGCATTCATATATACATAAGTACGTATATGCTCGTAGCTTGCATTTTTTTGCTTTTGTCTTTCCTGCCAGCCATAGCCGCCGCCTTAAGCGATTTCGTGACTTATGCGTTATAATTTTAACATTACAGTAAACACAGAAATTATCCGGCTAGTGGACGACTGTTGTGTGACGCTAAAATAAAATTAAAAACAAATGTAGCAAAGGGTGGTGCAGCGAGATACCTACATATATAATTTTTTAGATATATGTATGTACATTAGACCGGGTCTTTACGCATATGAAACTTTAGATTTGACTTTTTATACCATTCATGATTAAAAGTAGCCTCTTAACTTAAACAAGTAAGGCTTATTTCTTTAGAAAATTATTTTTGGAAACTGTACAACATTC